GTAGAGTGTGTTTTAAGTCAATTTCTTTTGAGATATAAAAGAGCAGATTAAGCAAGCAAGCAGACTTGGGGGAAGATAGATGCCAAGCCACATGAAGATCACCAAGAAACAGAAGCTCAAAAGAGACAAGGACCTTCCTCCAGACCCAAAAAAGAGAGAATCTTTCCCTAGAGCCGGCACTCTGTATTCCAACTTCTAGCCTCCTAAACTATGAGAAAATAAGTTTCTGAAAGCCACCCACTTGTGGTATTTGTTATAGCAGCACTGGATAACTAAGACATTGCTATTCATATCTGCATTTTGTGTGTGTATTGTGTTCTTATCTCTTCCCCCATCTTTTTGATAACTTATGTTTCAGACTGCCACCAGTTAAACAAAACTAATATAATAAGAAACACACCCAAATCCTGCACATAGGCCCTCTACAGACTATGCATTCCAAACTTAATGTGGTGTCTGTAACAGGGTGGGCTGCTGCGCGAATATGCGGAGAATGGATGGCATCTGTTAAATGTCTAATGCCATCACATTGTACTTGTTGTCCTTTACTTAGAACATGAGACCACCTGTCGTGAGCCCCCACATCCATTTCAAAATCTTTCCAAATTTTCATAGCTCCCCTTTCCACGGGAGGAGCTGAAGGTCCTGACACCATCTTTTCCCCTTCATGCCTCCTTCACAACCTCACCCCTTTCTTCTCCCTACTCCCTAAATGCTTCCCCATCCAGGAACTCTACCCCAACAAACACATGAGGTCTCTTTGATTCTGAAAATGTCTTCCCTTGACTTCTCACCCTCCCAAATCTTTTGTCATACTTTTTGTTCATCAAAAGTAATAAAGGTAATAAAGTGTGGACGCTTGATGCCATTATTATCCTTCTTGCCTGTCTATCAAAAGCCTCTGTTTGAGGTCACAAAATCAAATTACCTCATCATTTTTGTAATCCATTAATACCTGAGACTTCCTGCTGCTCTCCATCCTCTGTCTCCACTGGTTTCCACTGCTAGCCTGGGTTTTCTCATTCTTTTGTGGTGAGTCCTCTTGTCTCTTTTGCTGACTTAGATTCCTCCTTCCTCCCTACTACCCCCCATAAGCCTCCCTTCCAAAATTTTAGGCCTCAGCCTTTCTATCTGTATTCTCTACTACCCCCCCCCACCCTTTTCACAGCCTTCATTTACTATTGACTCCATCCAAGTGACTCCCCAATCCAAAATATATGCCCACCTCAGTTCTGACTTGCACCAATGCATTCTAAATGGGCTCTGCACATTTCTACCATGATACTTCGCTATTAATACAAAGTCAACATGTCTCAAACCAGCTTCCCTTCCAAATTGTCCTGTATCTGACTTCTCTCCCTCACATAGGCTCAGCATTTATCTTTTCCTCTCCCTTGACATCACTGCCCATAATCCCCAGATCTTGTCAATTCATTGTTTTAAATCCATTCTCTCCATTCTTATTGCTGTATGTCCTACTAGACCCTCATTCACATCTTAAACAACCTCTGAACTGCTCTAATTTCTGTTCCCTCTAACTTACCCTATACAGTTTTACCAAATTAATATTCTAAAACACAGTCGCTTTATGTACACCCTTCCTTTGCCCAAAAGCCTGTAACGTATTCTCAATTTCTATATAATTACATCCTAATCCACTTCCCTTCCTGATCCCCTTAATTCCCCAGTGGATCCTAAGGTCTCTCCTAACCCGTTTTCTACTTTTCACCTCTGTAACTGCAACCTATAAACAAATACAATAATTAATGTTTCCAGATTTCATGGAAAATTAAAAGACACCAAATAATTTATATCAGATTGAAGAGATAAATTTGCAGTAACTCATGCCTGTTCTACATTAGGAAGAAGGAACTTGCAGCCTACTTCTGAAAAAACTGGCCAGTGAAAACCTTATGAATAGCAGCAGATTATTGTCTGATATATTGCCAGAAGATGAGCCCCTCAAGTTGGAAGGCACTCAAAATTCAATGGAGGAATAGCTGCCTCCTCAGAGTAGAGTTGACCTCAATGACGTGGATGGAGTCAAGCTTTCCGGACCTTCATTTGCCAATGCGGCACGACTCAGAATGAGAAGAAACTGCAGCAAACATCCATTAATTGATTGACACAGTGGCTGCAACAATAGGTTTAAGCATAACAATGATTGTGAGGATGGCGCACTACTGGGCAGTGTTTTGTTCTTTTGTACCTTCGGTAGGGTCGCTGAGTGGCACACCCAACCCCTGGAAATCCAACCCTGTTTACAGTTGAAAAGAAGCACTTAACCATTAGAGTTGATGAGATGAACTGTGGCTTCATAAAGAAGTATCAACTTCATTTCAGTTTAAGTCAAATCAAATAACATATTTTCAGCCAATGGCATTGTTCTTTTTCTCCAGAACACCTTGCAAATCCCTGGTTTCTAGCCTTCGTTCCTGGAGCTCTCTGCCCAAAGTGATTTCTCCTCTCCTGACTTATTTAAACAATACTTTCCCTTCCAGGCCCAGGTGAAGGTCCGTTTCCTGCCCTGCCTCCCAGCAAGCCTGTCCTCTGAACCTTTCCAGGGGTTGGGCTTGCCACTCACCCAGATCTTAATGTATACTAGGCATGACTTATTATTGCAAATTTATCTTTTCAATCTGATATAAATTATTTGGTGGCCGGAGCTTTGTCTTTAATTTTCCATGAAATCTGGAAAAATTAATTATTGTATTTGTTTACAGGTTGCAGATGGCCTTGGTGACATCGTATGTATTGCCTGCATTCCAGACTTGATGGGCATTGTGTATATCTCTAGTGCTGCTACAGTGTCTCACACATAGTAGGCACTCCAGTGGGTTAACAATGATTCCTCATTGCCAACTGTTTTATGTGGAGTCGGAGGAATGAATGGAACAAAGTATGCAATGACAGTATTTGGAGAAAGAGATCAAAATGAGGTTAAAAGGAAACATTGGATCTATGTACTCCTCCCAGCAAATGCCTGTTTTGTTTCTCATTCAAGAATGCAGCCAATACCCTGCATAACTGTTCTGTTCCAAACCATCTTTCTATGCTCAGCTCTGAACCTTCACTTCTCCGGAAAGCTCTGCTTGACCCCTTCTGGCAATTAGGAATAACCACAGCATTTACTACACAGTTTCTGCGTTGTCTCGATTCCTCCTCTGACAGTGAACTTCAGGGACAAGAACTGTGTCTTGTTCATGCACCACATGTAGTATAGTACCCTGTAGGTATTTAATAAACGCTTTTGAATGAATGAAAACAATAGCGGGCAGCATCTGAGTGCTTACTATACGCTAAGCATTGTACTAAGCACCTCACCTGCATTATTTTAGTTAAATCTTATAACAACCCTATGAGGAAAGGACATTATTTTCCCCATTTCACAGATGAGGAAACTGAGACTTGGAGAGAGTAATTAATTTGCCCAAGGTCACAAGTGATAGTTTTGCTCCAGGCCTGTGTGCTTAGCCTCTGGCTACACTAAATGGAAACTCTGAATAGTAACCATCTCACCACCACCTGTATGGGAAAGGACTCTGTTTCCCTCTACAGGTGTCATCTGAAATAAGGAAGTGGGACTAGATCATGTTAAATCCCTCGTGGAGCTTTTAAAAAAAAGGATTCCTCAGCTCCACCCCCAAACCAATAAGCACAGTTTCTCTGAGGTGGGGTCCTGGCATGAATCATTGTTAAAAAGCACCCACGTCATTTTAATGTGAAGTTGGGTTGAGAACCACTGGCCCAGGTTGATGCTAAAGTCCTCTCTACTGCAAAGCCTTCATGAACCTTGAGCCATAACAGAGCTGCCTTCTTCTGTGATTGAGACTCAAAATTCTGCCAAAAGCCTAGTGATGCTGTCCTGGGAATGTATTATATGAACCAAATAGGGGGTAGAGCAACATCTGCTTGCAAAGATAGGGCCTTCCCAAGGAAGGACTGTGTCATTGAAGAGTTGGTTCAAGATGGGCTGTTGTCGTTAGGTGCCACTGAGTTGATTTTGACTCATAACGACCCTATAAACTGCCCCATGGGGTTTTCTAGGCTGATCACCAGGTCTTTCTCCAGCAGAGCTGCTGGTGGGTTCAAACTGCCAACCTTTCCGTTAGCATCAGAGTTCTTAACCATTGAGCCACCAGGGCTCCTTTGAAGATGGGTAACCCAACCCTATTTACAGTCTTAAAAAAAGCACTTAACCATTAGAGTTGGTGAGATGAACTGTGGCTTCATAAAGAAGTTATCCTTAATTTCAGTCTAAGTCAAATCATTTAAGTTAAATTTCACCCCCTTCAAAATTTTCACACAGGATGCAAAAAGCAACTATCTGTCCTCGGGATAAGAATGTACAAATAACGCAGCTATGTTATTGCAAATAACAAATGAGAAAATATTAGTGAGAATGTTTCATAAGCAATATAAGGTAATATTGTACCTTGATTTTCACAAAGAAATAAAGATAATTCCTGTTTCATCGAATACTGTTATATATGGGTCAAGTCAAGATACATGAGCAAGCTCCACATTATTTCTCTCCTGTATAATAAGCAAGTTCCCCTGTATTCAAGAAATTTACTAATTTTATTCATCCATCTAGGAGCTTCAGACTTCATCCAATTCACATGGGCAGGCTCATAAAAATGTAATATTCTTCTTAAAAAATCTCCCCCAGTTATGAGAACAAAAATTAATGAGATAGAAAATGCCGTGTTTTCCATTAGGATGCTATTTGCAAATCCTTTAAGATACACAGTAGTCAGTCAAGGTAACTTGGAACCTTGAGGAAAATACACTGACTTTCTTTTATTCTGTTTTCTTCATCTTCTCTCTTACCCCTCTGTTGCCCTAAGGAACAACTTGGATATCTGTTGTTCTTTGATTACCTGAATAGATGAAAGATTCTACTTAACGTTCTGAAGAAATGATTAGGAATTTGACAACCCAGTTCATCTAATTTGACAAAACAAAATAAGAATCCTTTAGAATGTATTAAAACAATATGTTGAGAGTCTTTTTACTTTTTAGAGTATATATGACACAATGGATAGCTTTAGAACAAGCTAACATTACTATGATTCAGGCATGTGCAACTGGTACAGTTCAGTAGTAACAAACGACTCAAACGAATGTACTGTAGGCCAGAAACTTAAGTTACAAAATATAGTCAATATTACAATTAATACAGATAAGTAAAAACCATTGCTCTCGGATTCTGCACACTTAAAGAAAAAGCTTTATACAATAATTGATGTTCTGCATCCCTACTCAGATGATTAGGACATATTACAAACATACATAAGCCTAAAAATGTTACGGTCACATTTTGGTGGTGTTGCAGTGATGCGCAGTCACATGAAATGTTCCATCCATTTTGTGTGAAATAAACATTTGGCTGAAGTGCAATAGCTGCAGAGTTAAAAAGATTTCCATGTAAAAAAGGTTTAGATGAAAATAATCCTTAACATTCTTTGAAGAGAGTCCTTCTGAATTATAGAAATAAAAGCAGTTAGGAAATTTCAGTGTGTTTTGTCTATTTCTTTTTTTTTTTTTTTTAATCATTAGTAAACAAATACTGGATTTAAAGTGCAGCTTCTTTCTCCTCTCCCTTCGATTTCCGCCCCCTCCAAGAAGATTGGTTCTGTATTAATTTTTAGCATCTCCACCGAAGATTGGACACAAACTGAGCGACAGTCAAGGCTGTTTGTCTCGAAAGTCAGCGATGGCCTTCCACAGTGTGCATAGCATCCCGCCTCTGTTGAAAGACACAAGACCGTGGTGAAGAGAATAATTCAGTTGAAACTCTGCTCTTGAAATATCAAAGTGACTTCTTAGCTCTCAGTTGCTTTGATCAGAACATGAAGATCCCAAAGTCTTATCAGTCATAATGTATTATTTTTGTATATTTTTTCATCATCCTTCCCTTCCTTTCCTTCTGACTCCCACAAAGCATCATTTTAGATTTTCAGCACTTTCGAAATGTGTCTTTATAGAGTGAGTATGAATAATAGTTCTGGATATGCTTGACCTATTTACTAGAAGAAATTACATCAGGTTTTTGGGTAGCAAATCAGTACCTCATCCTAATATTTCTAATAAGTATGGCACAATCATGAGCTAAATTACAGCACTTATTTAAGGCATCTTTAGAATATCTGCATGGTCTTAGTCTAACTTATTATTCAAGAAAATTCTTCCAGGTAATTGCACTTACTAATACAGAAATATTGGCTATTAAAACACCAATAAGAGCCTGGTTCAACTACCTCAGTTTAATAGAAGCAGCTGAAGCCCAGAGAGCTGACTTGTCCAGGATGGCACAGCTAGTTAGGGACCCAACCAGGGCAGGAACCCAGTCTTTTTGATCTCAGCCCAGTGCTATTTCCATCATGACAACAGAAAGAAAAGTGGTACCTTAGTCTCAGGCATTTTAAATCATCACGTGTAACATAGTAGAGAACATCCACTAGTGTATAATCCTCAGCCAGAAACTGTGGAGAAAGGAAATATGCACAAAAGTAAGATGTTTTATAGCCCTTTAATAAACAGCAAACTCTATCTAAAATGTAAATAATGGCAATCATAAAAAATGAATCTAAAAGAAAATCTGCTAAAAACAATCTTCCGGAATTATTAGGGGAAAGGCCCCTCTATTACAAAATAATCACAAAAAAATGTACCTATATTTCCAAATGCATAAAGTACTAAAGACTACAAGCAACTCAGAATTTCTAAATGTTTTTCTAATGAATAGCTAGCACTTACTTGTAATTACATTTGCTGCTCATAGCAAATGTTTATATTTAACAAGTTTGGTGCTATATAGCTTTGTCTTACTCAAATGGGTAAAATATGTTCCTGGAAAGGTGTTGCTTACACTTAATTTCTAAACATATTTTTAATAGATAATAATCAGAGTCCTGACCATTTAAAATAGAGCTTTTAATTTAAAAGCTAATACAAAGGGCAATGATTTTAGTGGATTCCCAATTACTGCTCCTTAATTGTGAATCGGGTCTAAGTTAGAGGCATGAACATTTTGGAGAACTTCATTAGATGCATCATTTTTCATAGGTAAGAGAATTGTTTAAATTTATGAAGCAGTAACTTGTTAAATGTAGATTTCTAAGGAAAACCTAAATTTTATTTAGTGGTTCAATAATTATCAAGTCAAGGGAAAAGCATCTTTATTCTAAGTTTTTTTTTAACTTAAATATATGACAGAAATCAATAAAATATAGAGGAGGCAGGGCCAGGTCCGATTTGCTTCATAAAATATTAAGTAATAAAACTTCTTAATGTGTGCATTTGTGTATAACATATATGTAATCTAAAACATAATTGTTATTCATGCTGATTACTCAAGTCTATAAGGAGCAGAGAGGAATTTAGGTTACTATAGCTATAATACATTTTATATAGAAAGTAAAAACCAAAAACCAAGCCGTTGCTGTCGAGTCAATTCCGACTCATATGAGTTCTACTCATAGAGTAGTACTCATAGAGTAGAACTGCCCCATAGGGTTTCCAAGGAGCAGCTGGTAGATTCAAACTGCTGACCGTTTGGTTAGCAGCCAAGCTCTTAACCGCTGCGCCCCTTGGAAACCCTATGGGGCAGTTCTACCCTGTCCTGTAGGGTCACTATGGGTGGGAATTGACCTGATGGCAACAGGTTTGGTTTTGGTTTAAGGGAGCCCTAGTGGTACAATGGTTAAGCACTCGGCTGCTAACTGAAAGGTAGGCAGTTCACAGCCACCAGCAGTTGCAGCTCCACAGGAGAAAAGACCTGATGATCTGCTCCTGTAAAAATTACAGCCTAGGAAGCCCCATGGAGCAGTTCTACTCTGTCACAGAGTCACTATGACTCGGAATTGACTCAATGGCACTCAACAACAACAAATAGAAAGTGCTACCTTCTGACGTAAGTTCACGAACTAGATCTGTTTTATTAAGAAGCAAAAACAGCCACTGTCCAGTGGAGTCTAATAATGTTGCAAGAGAATTAAAAAGTTAACAAACAAAACAGAATTAGAAACAAAAGAACTTTTGTTTTAGTTCCGTCTTGATTTTTTTTCCTCACTCTTCTATTTTCAATTCAAAAACACAAAAGCCCTTAGGGGTTCTAAAACACAAAGCTCTTGCCTGCCTCGTGTTCGCACTCTCACCGCCCCCTGCTCTTTCCCTCCGTGTCTGCATCTCCAAAGCATACACACCAGTGGGCTGGTTTATTCCTACATATTCCTTTAGACCTCAGCTCATTCATCATCTTCTCAAAGAACCTTCCCCAACTTTCCTTGTCTCCTAAGTTTCTCCCTTTCCTGGTTAGAACTTATCCATTTATAACAATACTTTTATCTGTGGAATTATCTGATTATTGTCTGACTACTCTCACTGTCCACCACCCGTCAGTTTGTCGTACTGTGGTGGCTTGCGTGTTGCTGTGATGCTGGAAGCTATGCCACTGGTATTTCTAATACCAGCAGAGTCACCCATGGTGGACAGGATTCAGTGAGGCTTCCAGACTAAGACGGACTAGGAAGAAATGCCTGGTGATCTACTTCCAGAAATTAGTCAGTGAAAACCTTATGCATCACAACCAAGCACTGTCTGACTTGCTTGCTTCGGACGTGTCATCAAGAGATCAATTGCTGAAAGAAGACATCATTGTCTGGTGAAGTACAGGGCCAGCGAGGGCAAGGGAGACCCTTGGTGAGATGGACTGGTGCAACAACCGCAATGATAGACTCCAAACATGCTGGTGATTGTGAGGATGATGTGGCGCCAGGCAATGCTTGTTCTGTTGTACATAAGGTCACCATGCATAGAGCTGACTTTACAGGAGCTACCTATCTGTCCGTCCATCCATCCATCCATCCTAGTCTGTAAGCCTCAGGGAGGCAGGGTGGGGTAGGATTTACTCTTGAGTGTATCCCTTGTGCCTAGCCTGGTGCGTGCCACATGATGGGCACTCAGCATTATGAAAGAATATTTATCCCACAGATATTTTCTTTACCCGGCTTATAGTGTCTTCGTCAGCTCCATTTTCTCTCAGCCAGTCAGTAAGTTCAGGATCTTCAGTATTTATGCCAGGAGAATTTAGGTGACACACAGGTAATCCAGGAATATCTAGAACAAAATTTGGGAGAGACATTCTTAGCTTCACCTGACACAGGTCATCTGAGAATGCTCACAGCCAACAGACTTTTACTGATACTTTCAAAGATTTTGCTCTATCAGGGGACAATTAATAGAAACAAATTAGTTTGGCAAAATAACTACTAATATAAATAAAACTCTTAAAGACTAGTTAACCTACCAGGTAATTGAGGGCCAGAAGCAATAATGTACTGATACTCTCATTTTGTACTTTCATATCAATTTTATAGTTTCTTATCAGAATACTGTGTGGACCAAAATTGTACTTTGTATTTCTCATGCAACAAAGGCAGACATAATTAGCGGAGAACTGTATAACTGTAAGAATCTCTTTTCCACTATTTACAATAATTTGGATATGCCATATATCTGAAAAAATAACTATCAATTCTAATTTCTTCTAAAATGGCTAAGTAAGATCCTCTAAAGCCTTTCATATGCAATTTCTCACAGATTGCTTCAAAATTCCAATCTACCATTCTTTATTACTATACATTTATTCTATTTAAGCTTCTTCAAATTTTAAGGAAAAAAGAACACACAGAATACAAATGTAAAATTACAAAAAAATGGAATTATTTTATTCTAGTAATCTCATTATCAAATCTTTAAAAAGAAAGACTAAAAAGATCTTAATAATATATAATCTCAGAAAAAGATGACTATGAATCATCTATTTTTATGGCACTTGTAAGAACTGATAGTTTGCTACAGTTAAAAACTGAATATTTTTTCAGAGTAATTCCTACTTGTAGTTGTGTTACAAGTGACAGATGCTGACTCAGGAATAAAATTGCTTGTTAGCTTTCTCCGCTTTTTGTGGCAGCCCTGTCAAGCACTGTTACTTTAAAATTTTCTGCTATTTACCTATTTGTAGTGGAATGGTTAAATGCTTGGCTGCTAACTGAAAGTTAGGCGGTTGGAACCCACCCAGCCACTCTGTGTGAGAAAGGCCTGGCAATCTGTTTTCATAAAGATTATAGCCAAGAAAATCCTATGGGGCAGTTCTACTCTGTCACATGGGGTCGCTATGATTCGGAACCGACTCGATGGCATCCAACAACTGTTGAACACTATTACTTTAAATTTTTCTGCTATTTACCTATTGGTTGGGACTTCAACTTCAGGTGTTTAATTTCTTGGTCTTTCTCTTCAATAGCTTGATGAAGGAGTGCTTGTAATTCTTTCTCTTTCCGAACCAATTCTTCCAGTAATCTGCAAAAGAAAATTATATCAGTTGACAGGATAATAAAGTGGAGTTGGCACAGAGTGATCTAGTCATGGGACTCTCAAACTATAATGAGCACATGCATCCCTGGGATTTTACTGAAATGCAGATTCTGATTCAGGAGGTCTGAGGTGAGCGCTGAGATCCTGCATTCCCAGCAAGTTCTCAGATGACGTTGATGCTGTTGGTCCACAGACCCCATGTTGGGTAGCAGAGCTCCAGACGATGTTGTGTTTCCAGTCAAGAATTCAAACCCTCCATCCCAAATTGTCTGCCAGAGTCTTCAGAGCTGTTGTTCTACTGTTTCTTTGTTATAACCATAATAGCAAAAATATTAAGATAGGATGTTATCAGACCTATATTTTACATGTTTTGTCCTCCATCAAACAAGTTAGTAATATAAGTATAAAAAATATGAGTAATATAATAATCAATGCAATGTAGAAAGTTAATCACTCTTCTTAAGCTATACAAATCTGAACAACTGAGAGCTCTAGGTGAGGTTACGTATAGTACCTGGCACAGGAAGCACTCAATATATGTTAATGGTTGTTGCTGCAATTGTTGTGATTGTCACTATACCCCCTCACTGGTAAGTGAGGTGCAGTGGGTAAAAGGATAGATGTGTTCCTGGTACACTCAGTTCCTAGCTGGCATCTGATGCATTCTTCAGAGAAACAAGGAGAAATGATGACATTATTTACACCACAGTTCTTATCCCTGAAAGGTTTACTTATGCAACTGAGAGCCAACTGGTAACCTATTCACCATTTCCAATACTGTTTCTCAGACAGAACTTTCCAGTTGTGAAGAGATGCTCTAATTTGTTAGAAAACTATCTTTGAGTAAATGGAATTGAGAATTGTAATACTTTAAAGTACATTAATTATCAATTAGAAAATCAGTATAAATCATTGCCTACCCTATAGCTCTAAGCAAGCTGTATTTGTTTCATTTTTTGAAGACTGATAGATTTAGCTCAGGACTAGGTTTCATCCCAAAAGTCTGTCTCTGCTTCAGTTGCCATGTCCTGAAGGCAGCACGGTACAGCTGACAGACAGACCTGGGCTTGTATCCTGGTTCAGCCATATACATCCTGTATTGATCTTAGATAAACTACTTAACCACTCTGGGCTTCAGTTTTCTCATTTGTAAAAAGGAAAAAATAAAACTTCTTGACAGATTACTGTCAGTAATAAATGAGAGAGCGTAGGTAAAGTGCCAAGCACAGAGCCTGGCTTTAAAATACGGACTATTCTGTTCCTGCTCAGCCTCAGGCCCTGGAAGAGTCTTCCTCCAACCCCGGGGTCAGAAGGGATTCCTTTCTTGACCCAGGCTCCCCACCCCACTCCCACCGCCCCGCTCCACCTTCCCTCAGGTCAAAGAGATGCGAGGCCCTTAGGTAGGAGGAAAGATCATATTAGGGCAGGCAGCAGAGGTAGAACGAAAGCAAAACCCAAGGAAAGGCAGAGAAGGTGGTTTGGAGAGAGGTAAACAGAGAACCACAGAGTAAACGTGGTGCACAATTATGTGGATTAAATAGTATGAACTGAAAGCAAGAGGGGGAAGCAGAAGATTAGAGGGAGACTTTTATCTACTCCAACAAGAATGATATTCAAAGAAATGGATAGCAAGCTCAGTAGAAATTATGAATTTTTTATTTGCAATTTTTTGGCCCTGGTGGCGCTGGTTGCGAGCTTGGCTGTTAACCAAAAGGTCAGCAGTTGGAATCCCATCAGCAGCTCCTTGGAAAACCTATGGGGCAGGGGCAGTTCTACTCTGTCCTACAGGGTCGCTATGAGTCGGAATGGACCCGATGGCAATGGGTTTGGTATATATTTTTTTGTATATATAAAATGTACAACAATACATTTTTGTCTTCCTTACTAATCTGCATGTATGGAATATTGTTGTTATTGTTAGGTGCTGTCGAGCTGGTTCCGACTCATAGCGATCCTGTGCACAACAGAATGAAACACTGCCTGGTCCTGTGCCATCCTCACAATCGTTGTTATGCTTGAGCCCACTGTTGCAGCTATTGTGTCATCTCATTGAGGGTCTTCGTCTTTTTCGCTGACCCTCCGCTTTACCAAGCACGACATCCTTCTCCAGGGACTGGTCCCTCCTGATAACATGTCCAAAGTAAGTAAGATGAAGTCTCATCATCCTTGCTTCTAAGGAGCATTCTGGCTGTACTTCTTCCAAGACAGATTTGTTCATTCTTCTGGCAGTCCATGGTATATTCAATATTTTTCCCCAACACCATAATTCAAATGCAACAATTCTTCTTCAGTCTTCCTTATTCACTGTCCAGCTTTCGCATGTATTTGAGGCAACTGAAACACCATGGCTTGGGTCAGGTGCACCTTAGTCCTCAAAGTGACATCTTTGCTTTTCAACACTTTAAAGAAGTCTTTTGCAGCAGACTTGCCCAATGCAATGCCCCACTTTATTTCTTGACTGCTGCTTCCGTGGGGGTTGATTGTGGATCCAAGTAACATGAAATCCTTGACAGCTTCGATCTTTTCTCCATTTATCATGATGTTGTTTATTGGTCCAGCTGTGAGGATTTTTGTTTTCTTTATGTTAAGGTACATGAAGGCTGTAGTCTTTGATCTTCATCAGTAATGCTTCAAGTCCTCTTCACTTTTGGCAAGCAAGGTTGTGTCATATGCATATTGCAGGTTGTTAATAAGTCTTCCTCCAGTCCTGATGCCCCGTTCCTCTTCATACAGTCCAGCTTCTCAGATTATTTGCTCAACATACAGATTGAATAAGCACGGTAAAAGGATACAACCCTGATGCACGCCTTTACCTGATTTTAAACTATGCTATAGCCCCTTTTTCTGTCTGAACAACTGCATGTATGGAATAGTGATGGCATATTCTTATTGAATTCTCAAAGAATGTAGTGAAATTTTCTAGAACTTAACTTATGCTTATCTAGGCTATATATTTCCTCTTTATCTTTAAAAGCCAGAACTTCACATTGGAAGCACAGAATTGAGAGGCTACCTCATTTGTCAGCTCTCGAAATTATTTTAAAGACATATTATCCAGTCCATCAGTTTCATTTTTATTTATGTTCAGTTGGCAGGGAAATCCTTTGAAATCAATACAGTTGCCTGCCTCTCTGTTCCAGAAAAGTTAGGCAAGGATCTGCCAGCAGATCAGTTGGTTTTTTTTTTTTTTTTACTAGGATAGGCGGGGGCTGAGGGGTAGGGGTGGAAGGGTAGGGTTGGGTAGAGAGTGTTGTTGGGTAATTCCAGAATTTCAGAATACGAAAATTGGATAACTAGTCGGCTCCTCCTGAGTTAGATTTTAATAATGAATAATGAATGTCCCTGCATTATCCCTGAATTTCCAGAACATTTACATAAGAAAAGCCTTAAATACAAGTAAAACATACATTCTGAAGCCCTTCTGATACTTTTTGCCACTTAGTATTATTGATGATCTAATAATCAAGAGCTGGTTGAAGCTGATTTACCTTTCATCAGAGAGCAGCCTAAGTATGCAGCTTAAGATTTTTAACAAGAGCTACAACCTTCCCTAAAAACCCACTAACATTTCCTCTAAGTTCATTTTGCAATATATGTACTTTTACATTTCAGATAATATTCAAGTGAAAATTCCAAGAACCAGCATGGATGTGACCCATTCCTCATTCAGTTGCTTAATACTTGTACGAAGAAGCTGCCCTTCTTTCAACTCGTGCATGACGTGAGTGTTGTGCCTCCTTTCACTTTTCTGCAGGAGATGGAGGAGATGTGGGAAATAGTACTGGGGGCAGGTGGGGAGGAGGCTGATAATCCTGTAGATTTCACAGATTCAAAAGTAAACATGTAGAGAAAAAGATAAATGTGTGGGCTATTGTGACAAATACAACTATATATTAAAAGAACAAAGAAATGTTGCAAGCCCTAGTTTTTTCAACAGAGATGTGAAGATTTGGGAAGCCAGCCCTCAGTTAGGAGCAAGAGAGCTTCAGGAGAGAGATGTGAAGAAGTAAAGCAGCTGGAGAAGAACGGCCTTTGGGGACTGCAGATGGCCCAAGTATAATGGACAGACAGCGAAATCGGTGTGGTATGCCTGAGGCTACTTTAACTAAGGAAAGAAGGAAAAGTAATAAGCATCCAGGCTGCACTTAAGAGAGGCAGATCCTATTGACACACCAGGGTGTGTACACATAAGGCCAGAGAAGCAGGTATATTGACTGTTTGGTAAATAAAGTAGCTTTAGTGTCTGTATAATTCTGACCTGCAGTCACAGGTGGACGGGCTGGACTAAAATGGTAATGAATGAACTTTCCTCCTCCAGAGACATAAAACCAAACCCACTGCCATCGAGTCTATTCTGACTCACAGTGACCCTATAGGACAGAGTAGAACTGCCCCATAGAGTTTCCAAGGAGCGGCTGGTGGATTCGAACTGCCGACCTTTTGGTTAACAGCCAAGTTCTTAACCACCAGAGCCACCAGAGCAGGGTCCAGAAAGCAACTCCACTCAAGATTGGACAACAGAGAGTAAACTAAAGAGAAAATGACTAAAGGCAACACCTACTATACTGGATGGGGTGTTTTGCCTGGAATATTGCTGGAGAAAAGAAGAAAATGGGGGACACGAAGATCTAGGGGGAAGTTTCAGAAGAGAAATCCTTTTCCACTAAAGTAGTAGAGATGACATATAAAGAGTGAGTTTCAGAGGACAAGATGAGGTTGTGGAAGTCAGACAGCCACTTTCCCTTGATTCAGAAAGACTTCTTTATACAAATCATACATAGGAGATATGTATGGATTTACTTAATCATACAACCAAAATTCATGTTTCTGAATATAGGATGAGCTTTGTATTACTTGTACTAAGCTTGGTGTTCAAGCTTAACTTGAAAAACTTAAACTTATGACTAGAAATAAAATATTTTTTTATCTCCCTGGTGAACAACTAGAAATTTCAACCAAGGTTTCTAATCAATTGACAACTTTTACTGATGCACTCAAAAAAGAAAAAAAAAAGTTTTTACTGCAAAGCAAGAGCCATAAAGTCAGTTGCCCACCTGCCAACTGTAGCCAGTACAGGAAGCTATAAATCATACAGATTCAGACCTTGAACTGTGCTAACATCTGTGAAGAACAGGAAATATTTACTGTTCACTTAATGACCTGATCATGTGAGTTTTATGCTATCAAATTCTCAAAGACAAATTAAACTCCAGATATGTCACAGATATCAAAAATAAAATAAAACCATAAATGATCATAACCTGATCATCTTTTCAAGGTTTGAAATGCAAAGCTTTAGCACCATCTGTTTCATCCCTTCAAGCACAGAGATCTTCCTCTCCTGAAAGAACTTAACATTCCAAATCACGGGCCTTCAAGAACATGGACTTTCTGTTCTATCTCCCAACTATCTGTGGGAAGGTACACGCTGCTCTGCGTCTGTTTCCAAGACAGTCTACAAGGTTACAACAAATTACTCTGAAAATCGCAGTGCACGTGGAGATAAAGCAGTGATCAAAGAAATGGTGCTGAAGGAACCCTGAATTGCCAAAAGCAGAAAGTGGTATTTGGCTAAAGAGGCTAAGATAAGTCTCTCTTGTTTTATAAAGGAAGGCATTGGCTCAAGTTTACATGAATGGAATAAAGGAATCATATTTTGTATTTTCTACGGACCAAATTTTTAAAGTAGACCAAAAGCATATGCATTTTTATAAAAGTAAGAGAAAAGGAACTTACCAACGTCAAAGTAAAATCAGCTGCCATTAAGTCAACTCAGACTCATGGCGACCCTACATGTGTCAGAGTAGAACTGCGCTCCATAGGGTTTTCAATGGCTGATTTTGGAAGTAGTTTGCCAGGCCTTTCTTCTGAGGTGCTTCTGGCTGGACTTGAACTTCCAACTTTTTGGTTAGCAGCTGGGTGCATTAAGTGTTTGCACCACCCAGGGACTTCCATATCAGAGTAGGACTTACCTATTAGTTTCTATTTTCATCCTTCCAAGCTGTACATTCAGTGACCGGTGAGCACTCTGGGAATCGTGGGACACAGTAGAACTGAGCGTGCTCACCCCCGAGGTAGCCACAGCATCTTCAATGACGGCATGAGGTCTTCGAACAGTTTGATTTGAAGGCTGTTCCTCATGGTCATCTTCTACATCCAAGTCTTCTTGATCAGCGGTATCACTCTCAGATGCAAGGCTAAAATGTGGCCTCAGTTCTGTTAGGGATAATATCAACAACAGTGTTAATAAGTATGACTAATTGCCTTAATTTCTTAGGATATGAATATCATCCCCTTTGCTGTCAAATACTATGTAGTTTATATAGTGAAAAACTAAAACCAATCCCATTGCTGTTGAGTCGATTCTGACGCATAGCAACCCTATAGGACAGAGTAGAACTTCCCCATAGGGTTTCCAAAGAGTGGCTGGTGGATTCCAACTGCCGATCTTTTGGTTAGCAGCCAGGCTTTTAACCACTGTGCCACCCAGGGCTCCAGTATATATAGTAGTATATACTATGTTATTTATATAGTATATACATAGTACATATATAGTATATAGTGTATACATGTATATATGACTATATACAAGCAAATAAATATGTACCCACTCCAAACTGCTTTTCCAAAAGTGAGGATGGATTTCTGTGCATAAATTCAGAGTTTATCTTCCAGTGAATTTGCAAAATTCACATGATATATACACTCAGAACAATCAAATTCAAACAGAAGAAAAACATCCACACTGTACATAAGATATAGGGGAAAATGGTAAAATCTGAAAGAAACTTAATTATAGTCACGTGTCATTTAATGTCCATGATACGTCCTGTGAAATAGGATGTTATGTGATTTGGACATTGTGTGAATACTATATTATATACAGTCAGTCTCTGGATTACGAACGAGTTTCGTTCCTAAGCGTGTCTTCAAGTTGAATTTGTACGTAAGTCGGAACAGTTAGGTACGGTTCATATCTAACATCAGTTAGTCAAATGTTATCTCAGTATATATATATAGTGTACCTTTCTATGCATAAAAAACATTAAAGAAACACTTCCAGATACACTAAAACATCTTTAACGTAATAATACAGTAATAATACTAATAATGTTTTGATGCACATCGCAAAGAGTGCCTGTTCATTATTACAAACGATTGCATGCATCTTGAATTTTTAATATAATACAGGGGCTGGTTCGTAACTACAGGTTGTACATAAGTCAAACATTCATAACCTGGGGACCACAGATGTATATGCAGTCAGATGTTGCCCGAACGGATGTTATGCGGCACATGACTGTATTTTAAAAACATTTTAAGAGTAAAAATTTGCTTATACAAATAAAGTTCATTTTTTATTATATAATAGCTGATAACTGTTAACTCACTTAGAAATGAAGAAACTGAGATACAGAGAAGTTACATAAACAACACTGAGCATGGCATGATGTTTTTTTGCCTGTATTATTCAAAGTGTAAGGAAATGCGGATGCTGAGAATGCTGCACATGCTTATATTCACTCTAATAAGACTATCTTTCCTTGACTACTGGGCGAATTTTTACTAAGTTCAGTACTTCAACTTGTCAACAAACCACCGAAATGAAAAGTGCATAAATTACAAGTTTACCACGCTGTACAACAGTGTACAACATGAGTTCATCTGCAGGTCACTGTAGAACTTAGACGATTATCTTCCCATAGGAAAAATATTACAAATTGTGATCAGGACCTCAAACTGGCCCACGAAAAAAGGAATTACACTCATAATTTAAGTGAAATGAAGGTAGCACAAAATTCTGGATCTTGACTCCATATGCTCTGGCACATGTAACTTTTATTGGATCAAAGAACCCACCAAAAAGCTGATGAAAGCCAAATCCTCTAGGTAACTTTTCTATCCTTACCCTACTTGACCTCTTCATTTTCCTCTAAACCTTTGGTTGCTGCTCATCCTCTTCAAAGTCTTTTTGTCTACTACTCACCCCTTAAATACTGGAAACAAGGATTTATCCTTCACTTTCTTACATCCTATTTACTCTCCAAGGATGAACTCATTCAAATCTTTGAAGGTCAAATGCTTAAGTGTCGATGACAAACTCAATATTTCAAGTCCCAATCCTGTACATCCAGCACCTCCTAGATATTCCTGTTGGGCCTGTTAAAAACCCTGATGCCATTGAGTCAGTTCTGACTCATGCGACCTCATTTGGGACAGAGTAGAACTGAGCTCCACAGGGCCTTGTTGGCTGTAATCTTTATGGAAGATCGCCAGGCCTGTCTTCCGTGGCTCCACTGGATGGATTCGAACCGCCAACCTTTAGGTTAGTAGTTGAGCACAAACCGTCTGCATCACGCAGGGACCTTCCTGTTGGGCAGTCACTCCAAATTCAAGAACCTAAAAAGGAACTCATCATCTTTTGCTCATGATAAATACCAGGTGTCCCTCTTGAGGGCCAGGTTTACGTAGCCCTGGCTTCCTTTATCTCTTAAGGCTAACCAAACAAACTCCACCTCTCCTCTGCTTTCTGCTTTTCTGCCCTTTCTCTTTCCAAAATCCTATTTCCTTCATTTCCTAATTCATCCACAGTAGGTCCTTCAGTTTTGTACAGCACCTACTACAGGGGCTAAGACATAATAGGCAATCAAAAACGTTCCCTGACTGGAAGAGTTGTTCTACCACCATTTTTTGTATTTAGAAGGGAACAGAATAGTGAAAAAAAAATCTTACTTTAAAAAAACTTAAGAAAGTGCAATTCTAGATTAAACTGGAACTTTTAAATCAGATTAGGGCTTTTAAAATTTTCTTAAATAGTTCTTAAATTTCTTCTATGGTCTCTAAACTGAAAAATTTTTAAATGTAAAAGATTTATAGTCCTGTTAACTATAACCTCACTCTTGGGGAGGGAAAATAACCACATTTTTTTTCTGATATTTATTATTCTATATTATTATATTTAAAGAGCCCTGGTGGCACAACAGACTCAGAATCAACTCAACAATGGGTTGGTAGCACAATGGTTTAAGCTCTTAGTTACTAATTGAAAGGTCAGGGGTTCAAATCTACCCGTGGCTCTGTGGGAAAAAAGACCTGGTGATCTGCTCCCATAAAGATTACAGCCTAGGAAACCCCATGGGGCAGCTCTACTCTATCATATAGGGTCGATATGAGTTAAAATCAATTCACCAGCAAAAAACAATATTATTATTTTTAAATCTTTTTTTATATCTCTCTAACTCATTGCATTTTAAATGATCACTGTATGTATGTATACCTACATGACTACATATAGTATACCTATATAGTATATAGCATACTTATGTCATGGTTTGAATTATGTCCCCCAAAAAATGTGTGTATCAATTTGGCTGGGCCATGATTCCTGGTATTGTGTGGTTTTCCTATATGTTGTAAATCCTGCCTCTATGATGTTAATGAGGGAGGATGGGTGGGAGTTGTGTTAGTAAGGCAGGACTCAGTCTACAAGATTGGATTGTATCCTGAGGCAATGTCTTGAGATATAAAAGACAGAAGTGAGCAGAGAGACAGGGGGACTTCATACCATCAAAAAAGCAGTGCCGGGAGCAGAGCGCGTCCTCTGGACTGGGGTCCCTGCACCGAAAAGCTCCTAGTCCAGGGGAACATTGACAAGAAGGCCAACAGAGAGAGAAAAAGGCTTCCCCTGGAGCTGACGCTCTGAATTTGGACTTTTAGCCTACTTTGACTGTGAGGAAATAAATTTCTCTTTGTTAAAACCATCCACTTGTGGTATTTCTGTTATGGCGGCACTAGATGACTAAGACAACATATATAAAAAACTAAAACCAAACCAGTTGCCATGGAGTCAATTCCGATTCATGGCAACCCCATGTGTGTCAGAGTAGAACTGTGCTCCACAGGGTTTTCAATGGCTGATTTTCAGAAGTAGATTACCAGGCCTTTCTTCCAAGATGCCTCTGGGTGGACTCGAACCACCAACCTTTCAGTTAGCAGCGAACAAGTTAACCGTTTGCACCATCCAGACACTCCAATATAGTATACATGTAGTACATGTATAGTATATAGTACATACTTTAAAAAAAACCGATAAAACCAAACCCTTTGCCGTCTAGTTGATTCCGACTCATAACAACACTATAGGACAGAGTAGAAGTTCCCCATAGGGCTTCCAAGGAGCAGCTGGTGGATTCGAACTGCTGATCTTTAGGTTAACAGCCGTGCTCTTAACCACTACGCCACCAGGGCTCATATATTATCTACATACATACATTATAATATAATCATAATATATTATAATTATAATATAACTATAATATAATTATAATATACATATATTATGTATACATACATACTACATTTATATATATTCATTCATACATACCCACAAAAACTCTCAAATTTAAATAAAGCAGAAAATTCTAAGTTGATGTAATACTTTGTCATTTTAGTATTTCAGTGACTCCCTGAGTATGGATCATTGAATTAGACATTGTAAAATATGCAAATAAAATGAGCATATGAACCTTGTCCTCAAGAAAGGAAAACTCAGGCTAATCTTCAGAAAAGCCATAAGAACCTGTACAAAGATAACAGAGATATATTTACATGAAAATATAAGCACAAATTAATACAGCTAAGAATATTTTAGATGACCTCAGCTATAGATCTATCTATGTATGTAATTTGCATGTACGTGTATTAAGAGTGCTAAGGGGTGAATGTGTAATGACTAGATCCAGTGGTGATTTATTCACAATGGATTCACGTAGGCAAAAGTGCCTAAGCGGGGCTCTGGAAGGGGAAGGCCTTGGGTTGGTGGAGAAAGGAAGAGGTGTTTGAGAGAGGCAAGCTCGCATGGTGGCCCAGAGCACTCTGGACAGAATGGAAAGCAGAGTGGACTTTCAGGAGACATCCAGTGTTAGGAGAAAGGCAGGGACTCGGGGGCCTCTAATCAGTGTTTAAGGCCATGTAGGGGTCACTGGAGCTGGTACATGTTTCCCAAACAGTATGTGATCCAGCAATAATACTATTTGTCCTGAGGAAGTTACTTTCCTAGAGGAAAATAACTAGACACAGGGTCCTTCTGGTGCCAAGTAAGATCACGGATGACATCTGCATTAAGCTCCTCGTATGGTATATATGTTATGGATTGAACTGTGTCTCCCAAAAAGGGACGCTGAAGTCCTAACCTCCAGTACCTGTGAATGTCATCT